TATTTTTTTTTTATTTTAGCCATGTCCTATAACTATGTTCTAAATGTGCAAGTAAACTATGCCATTAAAACTATTCAGATATTTAGTCTAAAGTTAATTTAAAAGAAAAAACCAACTACACATGTTGAATTAAACCAAACATCCACGTTTAAGTTATAGAGAAAAGGCATAGAAAAAGCCTTGATATCAATTGTAATAGACCATTAAAAATGTATATAGCATTAATTATTAAATCTTGCTTTAAACAAAATCAGCAATTTCTTCTTACCTGTCAATTTCATTTTGAACTTCATCGATGTGTTCAATAGCTTCCTGCTGCTCTTTCTCTGTGGGTGAAAAAAAAAATCTTATTTAATAAAGATATAAAATACATTTATTTTATACGAACCTCCATCTTCAAACATGACTCAACTACATCACGTTTTTTAAATAAATAAACTCCAGTCTATTTTTACTGTTAAACCATGATCAGTGGAGGAATGATGAATCCATGTAATATAACATTAATGTTCTGTATTGGTGGCGGGGCTCTGACAGAGAGTAAAGTAAAGAAAGCGGCCAATGGCTGCAGCGCTCTCCCTTCAGGCTCTCGCAGTTTCCTGCCGGCTGCTGCCTACAGGGCCGCGTGGTTTAAATGTGGGACAGCAGACTGCTCACACAGCCGCGGTAACAGCAGCGAGCTAGGATGTATGCCAGGTTACACACCTCCTCACAACCGCTATTATCACGACGGAGCGCTGCTCCCATAAAGCAGAGGCTAAGCTCTCAACCACAGACCGAGAGGTGATTTAAATGCGTTAACAAAACAACGTCTGCTAGCTCTAGACAAGACTACAACAACAACACGAGCGGGCTAGATGCTAATGCCCGAATGAAACGCTCACATATTCTATACACTATACCCCACAACATTAAGGTGAACACATTTTCAAACGGTTATGCACTTATAAAGGGGTATAATTAAGACTAAACATCGATTGTTTAAAATGGAGCACTCATTATCCATCAACTTAACTCCCATTTACCCCGGCTAACATGGCCTCTCGGCATCAAACAACGGAGCAGCGGCGGCATGCTAAAACACGTTAGCCCTTGAAAATACGCAGCCGCTCTTACTACGAGCAGTAAATGCACCCCGGCGGCGTAAAGCAGTAACAGTGGGTCGTTTTGTCCAAATGCAGACTAAACAGGAAGCATTTTAAGCACAATAAAACATTATTAGAGAAGAAAGTGAAAATGGCGGTGAACAGGAGGCCGCCATTCCCCTTACCGGAGGTCTCGTCCGCTCCGTCATGGTTCGAGTTCAGCTCCTTTTTACTCACTTTCGCCGCCGAGGCAGACATTTTTCTCTTCTTTTCGCTCGACGAGATTAACCGACAGACGTCTGAGGGGGAAAAAGGGATGGTGAATCTGAATCTCCTTGAACAGGAGAGCGTTAATTCGCTGTAAAGTTCAGCGTGGAGAAGCCAACAACGTGCTGCTGCCTTCCACACAATGTAGCTGCCGAAGAAGAGCGAGGAAGTCACAGGCAGCCTTTCATTACGAACGCGCCGCGCCGACTGGAGCGGAGGTTCAGCTCCGCCTCTCAAAGTAGGTCTCCCTACTCCGCTTCAATTTGCTCATTTACTCCCATCTCCATTCTTAAAATAACACATACGATCACCAGCACCTCAAATTATTACTTTTAATAACTAATTTAAGATGAATAATTCAACATTTTTTAAAATTACATTTTCCAAGGCCGGGCCAAATCTTCTGTTGGGCCGACTCGCACTTGCGCACTTATAAAATAAGCTGAATCTTTGTAGAAATGGGGGGGCTTGTTCATGGTGGCCAGCGCTAATTAGCACCAACAGAAAAATGGCGTTTAATTAGGACATTTTCTCTGTATGTTCCGCCCAGTTAGACTTTTTACTTTGTCAGAACATGCTTAAAATAAGACCGCTTCTTATGAAAGCCTAACGGAAAAGCAGATATCAAGGGAAACACTCCATATTTCTCCCTTTTCAAAGCCTAATTGCAAAGTGAAAATCCTGACAACATTGTTCAGTTTTAGTTCGCCTTTTTGTTTATTTAATTTACTATTAATTAGTTACAGTGATCTCCAAAAATACATACATGAAATTGTTCTCCATCCATCCCTCCAATTTAATTCAATTCAGTTTATTTATATAGCGCCAACTCACAACACGTCATCTCAAGGCACTTTACAGTTCACCAGATCGTACAGTCAAATTGATTCAAAGTTTTCTATCTAAGGAAGCTCTAGGCAATCCCTCACACTAAGCATGCTTGTAGCGACAGTGGAGAGGAAAAACTCCCCTTTAACAGGAAGAAACCTCCAGCAGAACCAGGCTCAGTGTGAGCGGCAATCTGCTGGCTGACTGGGGTTCAAGGTGACAGAAGCAGAGATACAAACAGCAACTTTAAAAGGCGGACCCATGCAGGAAACTCACAGCCAGGGAGACGAGCTCCGAGACAGCTCCCATGTCAGAAGATGAAGAGAGCACATCCAGCCAGTCACAGTCAGAAAAACAGGACTACACTGGAAAAACAGGCCGATCTCAAACATCTGTAACATCTCCATACATCCACATTGGTTTTTAATAAATTGGAATATTATTGAAACATTATTTCATTTCAGTAACTTTATCTCTTTGTCCAGTGAAATAAAACCTTATAAAGATTAATTAACACATAGCTTCAAGCTTCTTTTTGTGTAAATTGTGATTTTCTTTGCTGACAGCTGTTTTAATTTAAAAGTACTTTCAAATTTAAACATATAATGACAATTATTTATGATTGGAATATAGAATAGAACAGAATAGAATAGAAAATCATTTTATTGTGGCACAATGTGGGAATTCTGGTGTTTAAAGCAGCAAAAAGAAAGAAAAAAATGGTCACACATATTTGGACTTTAGAAAAATTTATAAGAATAACATAATAGTGAAGAGCAAATGAAATACTGTACTGTAAAGTGTTTAAACAAAATAAAAAATGTGCACCTGTAGAATAAATAACCAATATA